ACATTTCATTGGAAGGATAAGGATAAAATTGATTGTCGGACCTTGATTCAAAAGGAATTTATCAAACCTTTGAGTAAGATTTTTGACCTCAGCTGCAATTTCCTTGGAAGAGTCTATTTGATTTAGAGCTTTTTTTCCTCCCACATTTGCTAGGCGACTACCCCTAGAAGATGAAGATCTATGCATTGAGTTTTCACTCATTTTTTTTTTAAAAGATGCCAAATTTCATTTTCATTTCTTTCTATGTAGCTTCCGCCACAAGAAGCATCAAAAATGCCCTTATTAACATCGGATAAACTTGAAAAGAAACATTGAACTAATTGCCACTTAGGAATGTCATGATGTGGACACTTCCGTAACAAGTCATTCAAACGTTCCCATGCTTCATAAAGGGGTTCCATTTCTTCTTGTGCAAATTCACGAATGAAAGTTCTCATTGAATCGGTTCGACTCGCGAGATAGTACTTTTTTAGGAACTCTTGTTGCAATTGTGCCCAAGAGGTGATTGTATTTGACCGCAAGTTGTTGAACCAATATTTAGCTTTATCCCAAAGAATGAAAGGGAAAAGCTTTATTTTTAGGACTTCTTCCAGAACATCCGTGATTTTCACAGTGGAACAAACTTCCAAGAACTCATCTAAATGTTATAAGGCTCTTCATTGCTCAACCCATAGAAAAGGGGGCACATGTTAATGGTGGAAGCCTTAATCTCATAATGATGAGCATGAAAATTTGCCAATTGAATGCAAGTGGGTGCACTATATTGATTTAGAGTATAACGATCCTTAAGGACCATTGGAGGATTGAGAGGAGGATATGACATTTGACCTTAATGATGATATGCCATTTGACCTTGTTGATGGTATGCCATTTGAACATATTGTAGTTATAGGTCACCAATTGGGGGAACAACATTTGGCCTTGGCATCCCTAGATTAGGTTGTTGCACCACAGGATTAACTGGTCGTGGCATTCCCAAGGGTGGATGCACACCTTGAGGATCCACAATATGAACTTGTTGTGGGTGGTGCACACCGTTATGATCCATATAACCAAGATCTTCAATGGGATCTACAATTGGATCTATTAGGTCTTCCATTAAAGGTGATGAAAAACCAAAATTTGGAAAATTAGGATGACTGTCCCTAGTACTACCTCTTAAATGCCGAAGGGAAACTTCGAGATTTTGATTTACAGAAGCAAGAGGACGACTAAGTGATCTACGACCATGCATGCACTAGAATAAGTCAACACATCAACACTTCAATTTTTCAACCTCCACATACGATGTTCCCAAACTCCTCAATAATATCAATGCACTCAAAATAATTAATTGCCTCCACACGGGCCGATGCCTTCTACAAGAAGGTATACTTGGACTTGAAAATAAACAATTCAATTTAAGCCTCCACTTGGGCTGTACAAAGCATGCAAGATAGTAAACAATTAAGCACAAAAATTAAAGAGAAACTTACAAATGGTCCTTAAGCAATTTCAAAAAAAAAAAAATAATTGCTTCAAGGTCCAGCGTTTGCTCCACTTTGCTTCAAGTACCTAATTGACAAATATCAAATGAGAAAATAAAAATTAAAATGACCTTAAAGTAAACAATCAACAAAGAATTAATGTCTAATTCAATTCATTAAAACCGTTAGATCCCCGGCAATGGCACCAAAACTATGATGCGACCAAGCGTGTGCACAAAATAATGCACAACACTTTAGGTTTAGAAATAATGTCAAGTGGACATCATATTTTATAATTTATAAACCACTAAACACTTATACTATGGAGTATGAAGTGAGCAGGGATCGTCCTAAGAGATCTAAACAATTATAGGTTTTTAGAATTGAATTCTACTTTAGTGCTTATGTGATTGCTGAAAAGGGTTTTGTTTTGTGATTAGAACTAATTTAACTTAAGTGACTGCAATAAAATAATGGGGTTTAAAAGATTGGAAAAAGACTTAGGGTGAAGGATTCACCACTAAGCACATTCCCTAACTCACTAACTTTCAACTAATTGGGGAAATAATAATGTGTAATCTAAATATGGCTAACAACTACAATGAAAAGTGTAAACCATCAATTTCAAGCATGAATCAACTACTTAACGACAATTAAACTAAGTGCAGTGCAATTCACCAATTCAAAGTATGATTTATCAATTCAAGTTACAATTTCAATACACATTAATCTAGAGGATAATGCAACTGTGACAATAAGCATGTATTTCAAGCACAAGTATGGATTGTCTACTTACCTAGGAATGAAAGTGCAATTAAACTAATTAAGCCTGAAATTAACTAAATTCAACAAGAATTTAACCTAATTAAATTAATTGTGTAGTACAATCCATCTAGTAGAAGCAAATTCCATCAAATCAAAACACAATTACATCTAATTAACACAATACATAGCTATCACAAGATTCAATTCACAAATAAATCAAGTGTAGAGATTAATTATCAATCAAAAACATATAAGACAATATGAGATTGACATAGATAATCAAATGAAAGAATTAATTTATATTTCAAGGCTATACAAAAATTACACAAATAAATCCCCAAAAAGTGAAAGAGAGAGAGATTATGTTACATGCTTAGGGTTTATCCAACCCTAAGTAAAAGAATCAGCCACTCATGATTGACGGATTTAAATACGGAACAATCTCCAGCATCTGCTTCATCATCTCTGAGCTTCTTCTTCCAAACCCTAACACGTTCTTTTGTTTTTCCTCTTTCGCGTGTTTTCCAGAGAGAGCGTAATATCGATTACAGAATAAAACTTAATAAAAAATAAATAAAAAAACTAACTATTAAAAATATGAAAAACTAACCCTAAAAAATAATGGGCTTGTTTCCCTTAAGTAATAAACCCTATTAGAGCCCATGGGTTGCAGAAATAAGCCCAAAAACTAAAATCTCGTAACCCTTAAAATAAGACAATCTCGTAACTTGGTCTGCTATTAGAAGCTTGGCGTCCGAACGTAGCTTTTGGCGTCCGGACGCAGGGTGCTAGAGACTCGCGTCCGAAAGTGGAGAATGGCATCCGGAAGCAAGGTGCTGGAAACTCTGCTGCATTTTTCTGCTTCTTTCTGAATTTTGTCCCAATGTTCTAGCTTGACTCCAAAACGCCATAATTGACCGTTCTTAGCTCATTTTAATTTTATTGCCCTGAAATACACATAAACATAAATTAGGACTAAAACATGAAATTAAGATAGATGCAAAGACTGAAATACCCTAACTTAGGTGCTGAAATGTGCAACATTTAAACACTTATCAGAAGAAACAACTTGGTTTTTAATAAAATTGAATGGGATCCAGTGATGATTATGGAAAAAGCAGTGTTCTTCTTTAATGAATTCAGTAGTACTTTGTCGGAGGAAACCATTAATGCATCGCCCACTGGTGGTGGTGGTCCTCATACTAATAGTTGGATTAGTCCTGCTCTTGATAGATATAAATTGAATACAGATGCTTCATTTCATAAGCTAACTGGTTATAGTGAGGGTGGTTTGGTACTCTGTAATCATTGTGGATAAGCTGTCAAGGTGGCTACAATGTTTTATCAAGATGTGAGCAACGCAGAGGTTGCAAATACTCTAGTACTCAGGGATGGTCTGAAACTTCTTGGTCAATAGGGGTATTCAAATGTGGATGTTGAGTGTGATTGCCAATCAGTGGTTAACCTTACCCCTAAAGACCTTTTATGTTCAGTTATTATTCAAGATATCCATTGTTTGATTCATCAAAACTTGGGGTTTAAGTTGGTTTGGTGCCCACGATTATGCAACAGAGCGGCACATGAGATGGGTAAATGGGCTCTTAGTCAAAGGATAGGTGATTTCCAGTGGCAAGTGTGGCCTTTATGGCTTTTGAATGTATTTCAAAAGGATCTTTCATCCTAGTATTTATAATATTTGATTAAGTTTAAAAAATAATAATAATAAGTTATTATTATTATTTTTTCTTGGTGCAATGCAAGGGAAAAAAATTTATGTGGCGTAATGGATGAATTTAAATAAAAACAAACTTGTTATGCATAAATATACAACTTTGGATCACTTTGAAAATTGTAGAAAAAAAAAAAAAATTAATCTAAAATTTTTAGCTGAAATTATATTTATTTTATAACTTTAGATAAAATCTTGGACTAGGAGTGCAATTTGGGTGGACCAACTTGAACATAATTTCAATGAGTTTGGACAATCTTTGATGAGGTTGTGCTTTAAGTTGAAAATTTTCAATTTATGATTGGGCTTGAATTTAGGTGATTGTAACTCCAACACAAATTTTGGTTCAGTTAGTGGTCCATTTGTTATTATGTAATAAGATGCAGGGTGGACTCAAAAACTTATAATTTTGGGGACGAAGTTGTGCATGAAAATTAAAATTTTAAAAATATAATTAAACTATAATATATTATTATTTTCATTAGAGTATTCCATATTTTTTTTAGTACGAAAAAAATAAAATAAGATAATAATAAAAAAATATTTCATATCCCATTCATACAAAATGTCTTTAATTTTGGCATATATACAAGTGAAGGAAAAAACAAAATCTAAAGTTCAAAATACTAAAACAAGGAGTATAATAAAAATATGGATTATATTCTGTTTGTATGTATTTTATCTTTTTAATATATTATGTTTATATGTGTTTAAATGGATGTTAGAACTAACATCTTCAATTATTTCTTTAATTCTTACGAGAGTAGTAATTATGCTTAATGGTAGATGATGTCCATCCGAGATACAAAAGAATGGAGAAATCGACTAGATGCATAAAATTAGTGTGACACATAATATTTATAGGAAAAAATAGTATGCCAACATAAAATTTTGGTTTGTGTTTTAAGTTCGAATTCAATCCAAATTACAAAATTTTAAAACGTATTAGATAAAATTATTCTTAAGTTGGGCTAATTACTCAACTTACATCCAGCGACAGTCAATGAAAAAAAGGTTTAAGATAGGAGCCAGGACACACAAGAATCAAGGCAAACTCGGTTCTCTGTATATCACAAATAAGAAACCCTATTCTGATCTTATTATCTGCTCACTACTCACACAGAACAAGCTTCACATTTCCCATTTTTAGAGAGAGAAAGAAGAGTGAGAAATATCAATATCATCACTAATGGCGATTTCTTTAGGGGTTTTCTCGAGCTTATCGATCGGCAAAACGGCGACGTTAGCAAAGTCGTCGTCGCCCCGGCTTATAGCAGCTCCACTCACTCCTTCTCGTGTGAGCATGCCCACCGTGCGCACGGTAACCTATGCCGCCGCGTCCAAGCTGTCGACGGAGACCGGAAAGCGGGAGCCCAGAGGCATCATGAAGCCCCGTCGAGTGTCGCCGGAAATGCGAGACTTCCTCGGCGGCGTCCCTGAGATCCCTCGCACCCAAGCCCTCAAGCAGATTTGGGCTTACATCAAGGAACACAATCTTCAGGTCTCTTCTCTGTCCAAATACTTCCTAATTCTTGTTTATGTCTATCAAGCATGTGTTCTTTCTGTTGTTTCATTGAATAGATGGGTTTTATATGTTTATTCCTTCACTTATTTTCTTGATAAGTATTTCTTTAATTTTCTTTTATTTAGGGTAAGACCTTTAAATGGAGTTTATTTGTTGATGTTATCATTTTTGTATATGTTTAATTATCGTTTCATACCACACTTAAACCGATGGATGGTTTGAACTTGGGATATTTTATTTTTTTCACTTTGTTTTACAAGCAATAATAAACTAATCAAACCGTGCTTCTCTCTCTTTTTTTTTTCTTTCTTTTTTTTTTTTTTAATGAGTTTGATTCAATTGGGGGTTTTAGATGGGTTTTAGTTACTTAAATGTCTTTGCAAGAATACAGGTTGGTTATTAATGTGTATTATTGCTATTTTCTTTTTCTTTCTTTTTTTGGGTAGTTACATTACTCATTTCAGTATTGTTTAGTTTTCATAGTAGTTCGTTTGATGATTATTTACATGGATAAATATGTATGTATGATCGTATGTCCATCAGTGGTGCTGCTGTGGGTGTTGTGTTTTGTTCGTACTTCTTACTCTGTAACTGAGTTTTGTATTTGGACAGGCTTGCATTGGCATATATAATATTACAATGTAGGTATCTTTGTTACACCCCAATTCAGTTTTATTGGGGCTTAGAGGAGTTTTCTTGTGTCTCTGTGTATGTTTGGTTCTGTTGATTGATTAGATTTCATGTGTTCTGTTATGGTTTACTCTCATGTGTAATTGTTGTCATTTTGATTTTTAAGTTGACAGACGAGCTCTAGAATTATGCAGGGATGCTCTAGAGTCTATAGAATTTATGATAAGGACTGAAAAATAAAGTTGATTGCAGCTTTAGGATACAATTATAACATTTTGCTTCATGCCTACATCTATATACTATATATCATTGTTTGTAGGAAGAAAGTTTGCCCATATACTTTACAATTGCTTACTTGATTTTGGACTTATGCTTATGCCTTTACTCCTTTGTAATCATGTGCCTTTAAGACGCTTCTAAACTTTATATGGTCAAAAAATCATTGAAGTTGCATGCAAAATGCAAACAGGAAGTTCCTTCAGTAATAATGGATTGATGTCAAATCTATTGGCTGTTTTTTTCTAGTAAGTTTGTTCAAATTAGTTCATTAGTAGATTTAAATTCATCCAACTTTTCTGCTATAACTTTTTTGTACAAGTGCTTAGTGGAGATAGCATGTTGCGGTGCTTTTTAGTCCAGTTTATTAGCATCAACATTATGCTTGCACAAATATTTTGTATATGAGAATGATGAAGATGTGGATGTTGATGACTGACACTGTAGTGTGACGGTGGTCCCTGTGATTCCTGAGTACTTGTACATGACGCCTTAACTATTGTCAAAAACTTGGGTGACAATTTGATGCAGATAAGTGGTGCTCAGTGACCTTAGCCAATGCAAGAAGGCAAGTGCAGGAGCGTCCTTATATCCTGTTGACGTGCTGGGTGATTCTTTGCCTTTCATTTTCAGTCCAAGTCCTCTAAGATGTTATTATCTGATCTGAAGGAACAAATAATATCCAGCTTGATTTGGGCTAACAAGCTTGATGAAAGGTTACTTTATGTTATTTGGTTGCTGCTTTTTGATGGTAACTAACTAGATATATTTGATAATTCGATCCTTCCATTTGGTTAATGAATATGGAGGCGTATGGGTTTGTTCATCTATCACTTTTTTAGATATTTGTGGAGGCATTCTTGATGAGTAGAAACATAGAATTTGTTTAAATGCGTCAGTTATCTGATCAATATAAGAAACTAAATTTTGAGATATAAAGTATCAACAGTCTTTTATGCTTGACTTCGAAACTTATTTATGCTTATAACCTTTATCCTCTAGCTTTTCCCTCCAATTTTCTTTTTCCTTTTTGGTTTATGCTGGTGCAAGTGTGCCTAATTTATCTTTCTACGAAATTGTCTATGTACAGATTTTATAATATTTGCAGGCAGTGTGGTGCTGACTTGGTTCTTCCTTTTTTGTTATTAGGACCCTGAAAACAAGAAGATCGTAGTCTGCGATGAGAATCTGAAGAAAATTTTTGCCGGGAAGGAACGTGTCGGATTTCTCGAGATTACAGGGCTAATCAGCCCTCACTTTCTTAAATGAAACCACTTGCAGGAGTATGCATATAGATTTTGATCACAATCCAGAACTGTTAGGCTTGTGATATTACTCATAGAAAACTGCAGTGCTGCTTTTTTATTTTTTATCTTGGTTTGGGCATTGCAGTTTTTTGGATTATGATGAGTATTGCTTTTATAGGCTTCTGAATCTATTCTTCTAGGGTCTGCTAATTTTAGTGCCTGCAATGTCTTCAGTTTATGTATCTATGCCCCTGTTCTTACGTAGTATTTAGTTTTCCTGTTTGCTCACACAGCAACTCATGCGCTTGTTCGGAATACTTGTGCTTGTATGGCTCTGCCTAAAATCCTTCTCAGTGATGTTCCACTTATTTGGACTGTGTTTGCAAGTGTCAACAATATATAGCATGATCCTTTAATACATATGATGGGTTTGGAATGATTTTGTAGTACAATTGTATTTGATGTCTTGCCAGGGTCCTTGACGGCTCGCCAACTTGAACCCAACTCGGTTTTCACGGGTTTGGACTACTATTTTTATGAGGATGTGCCTAAAGTTGAAGACTTTCAATTCAAACTCTTTTTGTCCTGGTAAAGGGCACACTCGATCCGAGACTTGATAAGATAGTTGAGGTCTCTATTAGTAATTACAAAGTAAGTCACGGGATAATATTCCATCACTAGAACTTATTTTATTTTAATTGTGTAAAACTTAGTTATTCAATTTTTTAGTTTTATAATAATTATAATTAACGGTAGATGATGTACATACCAAACACAAAAGAATAAAGTAATCTACAAAATGCATAAAATAGTATGGTACAAAATGTATGTATGAAAAATTAGTGTGGGAATTTAAAATTTCCATTGTAGTTGCAAGCTCTAATTTAATCCAAACTACAAAATATGAAGATGGATTAGACACGGATTAATTAGTTCGGATTGAAGGTCAAGGTATGATTTAGTATTTTCATATATCCAATTTGAATTATCCTTAATTTCTGTTTAAAAGGTTCTCCGTGTATCTCAAATAAGAAGCCCTATTCTGGTCTTATTCTCTGCTCACTACTCACACCGAACAAAATCGCTTCACATTTCCCATTTTTAGAGAGAGAAAAAAAGAGAAAAATATCAATATCATCACGAAGGGACTACAAATGGCGATTTCGGGGGTTTTCTCGAGCTTCTTGGTCGGCCGAACGGCGACATTAGCAAAGTCGTCGTCGTCGTCGTTGCCCCGGCTTATTGCGGCTCCACCCACTCATTCTCGTGTTAGCATGCGCACCGTAACCTATGCCGCCGCGTCCAAGCTGGGGACGAAGACCGAAAAGCGGGATCCGAGAGGCATCATGAAGCCCCGGCGAGCGTCGTCGGAAATTCAAGTCTTCCTTGGCGGCGTCCCTGAGACCCCTCGCAAAAACCCAGTCCTCAAGCAGATTCGGGAATACATCAAATTATACAAACTTCAGGTCTCTTCTATCTCCGAATACTTCCTAATTCTTGTTTGTGTCTCTATCAAGCTAGAGTCAGTCTGTGTAGTGTACTATGCATATATGAATGTATATATGGATTATGATGTTTTCTTTGTGCTGTTTTAGTTAATAGATGGGTTTTATGTGTTATTCCTTTTTCTTTCTTTTTTTTCTTTTTTTTTTTTATCTGATAAGTATTTCTTTTATTTATTGTAAGAAACATATATTTTTTTAAATGGAGTTTAAGGAATGTTTATATGTTATTTGTAGATGTTATGATTTTTATATTGTGGGCACAGGTAGATTGTGGGTTTCATACCATACTTTTACTGTTACCCTATCTTTGTTGGATGGTTTGAACTTGGGATTATTTTATTTTTCCACTTTGTTTTACAAGCAATAATCAACTAGTCAAACCATGCTTTTTTCTTCTAATGAGTTTACGTTTGATTTTGTTGATGAAGAATACAGGTTGGTTATTAAGGTGTATTATTGTTAATTTATATATATATATATATATATATATATATGGTTTGTGAAAATACTAATTAGTACATTACTCATTTCAGTATTGTTTAGTTTTCAGAGAAGTTCATGGATTTTCTGGATGTTTATTTACATGGAAAGATATGTATGTCTATCAGTGGTGCTGCTGTGGGTGTTGTATTTTGTTCCTGCTTTGTAACTGAGTTTTGTAGTTGGACATTTCTGCATTGGTATATACAATGTAGGTATCTATGTTGCATTCAGATTCAGTTTTGTTGGGTTTTTAGAGGAGTTTTTTTGTGTGTCTGTGTATGTTTGGTTCTGCTGGTTGATTAGATTAATTCATTGTTCTATTATGGTTGGGTTTTGTTACCTGTTTGTAGCGCATGTGACTCTCATATGTAATTGTTGGGAGGTTGATCTTTTAAGTAGACAGACGAGCTCTAGAATGATGCAGAAATGCTGTAGAGTCTATAGAATTCATGATAATGACTAAAAGAAAATGGATTGCAGCTTTAGGATAAGATTATAACATTTTGCTTCATGTCTACAGGCTACATCTATATGTCACTGTTTGTAGGAAGAAAATTTCTCATATCGTTTAAAGTTGCTTATTCAAATAGGAACGTATGCTTATGCCTTTGTTCTGTTGCAATCATGTGCATTCAGCATGCTTCTAATCTTCATGTGATCAATTACGTGCTGAATTTTAACAAGAAGTGCCTTCAGTAATAATGGATTGATATCTAATTTCTTGGTTATTTTTTGTAGTAAGTTGTCCAGTTTTGTTCATTAGTAGAAGGGTAAATTGCAAAAAAAAAAAAAAAAAAAAAAGCAGAAAAAAAAAAAAAAAACTCGCCATATACAAAATGTGTAAGAAGTATCCCTACTTTTTATTTTGTGCATATAAATCTCTGCATTTTCAAAATTTGGAGCAAATTGACCCTGATCGTCAATTTTGACCAAATTTTTTTGTAAAATCCCAAAATGCCTTTAAGATATATATATATATATATATATATATATATATATATATATATTACATCCCTTTAACTCTCACTATGAAAGTACAAAATTGCCCTCACTTTTATAAAATTATATTGCTAACCTCACCAATACACAACCACCCACCTCACCACCTCTGTTGCCGCCACAGTGACACCACCAGCACCACTCCCTGTCTCCCTACCACCTAAATAGGCTATAGTTTGCTTTCTCAACTTGTTTATGCACTATGAACTACTACACCATGGTGTTTTAATCACAAAAAATTGAAGTTTGTCAATGGGCAAGAACGATCCTCCCGTCACGAATAGTGAGGAAGTAATATTCTTGGGCCTTGTGCTGTGCGTAGTTGAAGGGAGTCGCTTTGTAATTGAGTGCCATAACTTGATTTTAGAAAGGAGTTTACAGCAACTTGAGATGGCATGAGACGCCATGTGTTGTCTACATCAAAGTCTACTTTGATACCTCTCCCACTTCCTGAAGTTTCTGGAGGATACTTGTGTTCATCCGCTCTCAATCCATTGACATAACTGCAAGTTCCGATCTGTAAAGAGAGCATAGAAGTTATTTGGACTGATTGGGGAAGGAACTCTAATTAACTCCACAGATTAATACACATGTAACACAATTCCAATTTGAGATATCTCCATAGTGAAAAATCAACCATGATACCCAAAAACTAGATTAAAGATCCAAAAACAAAAACAAAAATATGAATAAAACAAGTTGGCAGAAACCTAACTCCAATGTCTACATATCAAATTTAACCCACAGTATTCAAGTGTATGTATATATATATATTAATAAATGTCAATAAATATACAAATGTAACGCAATGCATCCAATTTTCCATTTTGCACATTTTGTATACAGCGGAGGTGTTTTTTGCACTTTACCCTTAGAAGAAATAAATTCATCCAACTTTTCTGCTATAACTTTATTGTACCAGTGCAAAGTAGAAGATAGCATGTTAAGGTGCTTTTAAGCCCTAGTTTATTAGCTCTGTCAATATTCTGCTTGCACGAATGTTATTGATAAAGATGGAGATGAGAATGTTGGTGACTGGCAGTATAGTGTGATGGGTGATTACTAAGTACTTTTACATGACACAACTTTCTTAACCATTGTCAACAACATTGGTGACAATGCAGATGAGATGTGCTCAGCCAATGCAAAAAGTCAAGTGCAGGAGTGTCCTTGTATCCCGTGCCTCTCATTTTCAGTCCAAGTCCTCTAAGATATTAAGATCTGATGCAATAAATAACACCCAGCCATTTTGGGTGGTTGATTTGGGCTAACGAGCTTAATGAAAAATTACTCCATGTTATTTGCTTGCTGCTTTTTTTTGGTAACTGATAATTTGATCCTTCCATTTGGTTAATGAACATAGAGGCTTATGGGTTTGTTCATCTTGGTCACTTTTTAGAAATTTGTGGGGGCATTCTATATGGCTAGAAACGTAGAATTTGTTTAAATGTGCCAGTTATCTGATCAATGTAAGAAATTAAATTTGAGATACCAAGTGTCAACCATCTTTTGTACTCGACTGCGAAACTCATTTATGCTTTATCACCGTTATGCTCAACCATCTTCCTTTCTCTTTCTATATATATATTTTTTATGCAATTGTGCCTGATTTCTTTTTTCTATGAAACTACCAATGTACAGATGTTCTAATATTTCGTGCGACGGCAATGTATTTGCAGGCAGTTTGGTACTGACTTGGTTCTTTATTTTTTGTTATTAGGACCCTCAAAACAAGAAGATCATAATCTGCAATGGGGTTTTGAAGAAAATATTTGGTGGGAAGGAACGTGTTGGATTTGTTGAGATTGCAGGGCTGATCAATCATCATTTTAAATGAAACAACCTGCAAGAGTATGGATATAGATTTTTATCACAATCCAGAACTGTTAGGCTTGTGATGTTACTCATAGAAGTATAGATTCAGAAGCCTATAAAAGCAATAGTCATAGGCATTTGCAGTTTTTTGGATTATGATGAGTATTGCTTTTATTGGCTTCTGAATCTATACTTCTAGTGTCTGCTATGTTAATGTCTTCAGTTTATGCAACTATGCCCTTGCTCTTATTTAATTTTATTGTTTGCTCACACAGAAACTCATGCGCGTGTTCAGAGTACTTGTGCTTGTATGGCTCTGCTTAAAATCCATCTGAGAGATTAATATTTAGGAATAGATATTACCTCTTTTTTCTTTTTCTTTTTTTTCTTTTTTTTCCTTTTTTTTTTTTCCAAACAAATTGAAATGATCGAAGTTTTTCTATTTGGAATCGTTTTAGGTCTAATTCCTATTACTTTGGCTGGATTATTTGTATTTTTAGCATTAAGAAGAAGTAATTGGTTAAGCCATTAACAACAGTTCTATATATTATAGCATGATCCTGTATAATACATGATGGGTTTGGAATGATTTTGTAGTATAATTTTTTATTTGATGTCTCAGCCAGGATCCTCTGCAGTACAGCAAGCCGTGCACACATTATGATTATTGTTTAGAGCAGCAGCGCATAAGATATGGGCTTGGAGTTTTCCCAAGCCAAAAGACTTTGAAACTACTGTGTTTAAAGATCATTGTTGACGGTGATCCAATTTGTTACGGATTTTAGAAATGATTCTACTATCCTTGGACCATTCCACTTGGAAAGTAACAGAGATGATATATGGATGTTCATCTTAAAATTGAAATAAAACTAATTTGTACTTTAAATTGATATACTCTTCAAAACCGTTTCGTGTTGATATTCAACATGATTTGACCAATCTCGGTATGAATATGATCCTCCGGTAATTTTATTGTTGACGTTGCCTTATTTTCTCTTTTCCATTTTTTCGTCTTTTTGGTGGTTGAGCTGCTAGATGTGTTCCACATTTCCACCCGCCATTTGTTTTTTAGTGCCGCCAGCCTCTTCGTCAATAACGATCATTATATAATATTGACTATATGTTTTTGCTCTATTCCATAGCAATTTCTGTTTTTTCAATAATAAAGTTCCAAAATTTTTTTCTACAACCACAAAATAAAAACTCTTTCTTTTCTCTTTACTTTTTTTTTTTTTTTTTTTTTTTGCCAAAAATGAATTTTTCTTTTTTTTTTTTTACCTCATAACTAATATTTCTTCTCCTCTTAATTACCCAAACTAAGCTCCACACTCTACCAGATGAAGCATTAATTTTTCAATGCCGTGCAACCTCAATGGAGCATTACTAACATTCTCACGCATGCACAATTAGAAATCAATAAACGCAAAATCTGGACCAAAATTTTAAAAACTAGTCCATTTTCAAAATAAAGGCATACTTTGTTATTGAACGAAAAAATTTCATAATTAGTCAAAATCAATAACCAATAACCAAGTAATGTGCAGTTAGAAATTTAGCTGCAAACCCCTACTCATCCACTAATCACCATCTTCAGTAATCATCTTGATATTTCCTGTATCTTTCTAAAAAAATCCACTCTATTCAGCAAAATAAATATATATATATCTACTTCTATCACATATATATAACCTCTACTCTGTAAATCTGTCAGTGTGCCACAGTTAAGTTTTATATATATATATAATTCATTGAACGATGTGATGTAGATCCTCCACAGCACCACCTGAATTTGAGGAGAAGATGTCAACCGGTGCAGTAGTGCAGCTAATAGTATTATGCTTGAATCTACCATTAGCGGAGCCGTGGTGGTGATCAAGATATAACACAATCACAGTGATATCATCATGAAAATGACGCCTAATACCCTTTTCAATTTTCTTTATGTCACTGTATCTCATCTCCCTCTTCTTGGCTGCCTCATTTAGAGCAGCTCCGATCAACCTCTTAGCTATTCCCTGCAAAAATTTCACCAACCAATACCAACATGTCATGCTTATTGCCATACTCTAATCAACAAGCTTTAAACAGGTTCTAAAGAAATTCAATTGACCCATGAAAAATATATATATATTCAATTAGGTATAATTTTTCTTTCTTTTGCTTATTATAAAGATAAATTGTATTTTTAATCTTGATACAAATGTCAAATCAGATCAAGTGACTGACTGAAAATGTAGCCTTAAAATCAGACATTGGTTCAGGAGTATTGCAACTGCAAACAATAACAGAACAGTAATGTTGATACAAAGATTGACAAGGGTACTCACAGCTCTTGGGTTCTTAAATACAATCTCTACAGCTTCTTCGTCGCTCAAATGTTCCCAGAGACCATCTGAAGCAAATATCAAAAATAAGTCTTGTGGCCTAAGCTTTCGTTTAAGGATTGACGGTTCTGCTGACATTAAAGCTCGTTTCATAGGAACGGGGTTTCCAAATTGCTGGAATATCGGGTCTCTGTTCAACTCGGGTTTCTTCAGGTAGGCATCTCCAATAGATCTTGACACCTGATAAGAATATGGTACTTGAATTAGCACTTTTTGTTACATGCTCTTAAGGTTACCACGGAAAGGCAGTGAGGTAAGTGACATCTAGCAAAAGAATACATTTACTTCACACCATATCAAAATATTAGGCATCCTGTCAACGTAAAACCGAAGGACACATTAGATCTAACTAATTACAAAAGCTGCACACTGAATTTGTAGCCATCATGTTCTCTAGATGTAAAGGAAGAGGAACAAATATGGTCACTAGGGCCAGATAATATGCTTTATGAGATCTTCATGTTCATCTCATGCATTGAAGACTAATTTTGACTCCAGCTGCATGAGAAATTGGACCAAGAAGCATATCATGTGACCTGAATGAAGAAATATAAATTTATTTTAATAAAGCAAAAGAGGAGATATAGATTAAAGGAATGGACAAAACGAGATACCGCAACAAATAATGTCTAGACGCTGATCAGGACATTAGAGAGGATAACAAGATAAGTAAACAATAAGCAAAAGGAAGCAGATAGAGATAACAAGATAAGTATACAATAACTTGAATGTTTGTCAATACAAAGTTACAAACCAATTAAATTGGCATATGAAAAACAATATTTTCCACCTTCCTCATTAAGAGTACAATTTTTTTTTTTTTTTTTAAAAAAAAATTGTAGTTTGAGCGTGACATTTTTTTGAGGGAGTAAAACTACCAACTAATTTGGTTCTTGCAAAGTTCTGCTATTTACTATTTTTTTTTTATCTTTTTATTTATATTCTTGCAAAGTGATGCTATTTATTTGTCCCAATTCCTTCACAATTTCTGATGTAGTGCAGTGTTTCACAATTGACTTTATATGGAAGCAGAAATTTTCACAAGTATGTGCATTAATAAGTAAGACGGCTTGAGATGAAAGATGCAACGAAGACTTGGACAATTTGTTGATTTAGTCATAAGTTGTTTTCAAGTTAAAGAAAGATGCAACGAAGACTTGGATGCGCAAGCTTGGAACAAATGGCATAAGGGATTAGAAATATGAACTTTAGAGTGTGACTACAATCAGTCTCATTCACCATCCAAAGCCTCCCAATGAGTTAATTCCTTGCATAATGAGTTAATTTATTAATGTCTCCCAATTTCCATAAATATCCTTGCATAATTGATAATATTCAACTTAACCTAACTCAACTCAGCCTATTCCCAGCTATTTATGTCGGTTACATGACTCATGTCATGCCATTCCACTCTATCCCATGACACAACCTTACTCAAACAAAATGTCATTTTATCTTTTCTTACTATGTCAACCAATTGTTATCTATTAATTTTGTTTATAACATAACGAGTCAAGTAATTAATAGTGATGTAAAATGAGCTCAAAACTCAATAAATATATATATATTTTTTCCTGACCGGGGGTATATTATAAAACGAAAGAAAAATTACATTGCAAGGAGGAGGCATATCTCCTTATACAAAAACAGAAATGGAGAAAGCCCACTTCCAACAAATGCCACTAAAAGGAAAATAAAAGAAACACATCATTAGGGACTGACAGCAGCTACAAGATCTACAAGACTTATGTTGAGATATGATAAAACATCCCAAACAATAGCCTTAGCAAGATTGGAGGCTTGATCTCTGCTCAAAACTCAATATTGCTAATACTAGTGCAAGTCATCAGCCATTAAGGAAGACACTTGAAGCATACATGTTATGAGATATTTAGTCTCACAATCCAACATGAAACTATGGTTGTAAACACTGATATGAGACTTAAATTAAATATACTCCCTCCATTATAAGTAATTCATCATGTTGATGCTAATACCTATCTTTCATGTTGATACATAAGCTAGTACCAAACAAAAACTTAAATTAACCATAATTCAGTGCATTCATGGCCATCAACTACTAACGGAACAAGCGAACCACGTAGAGAAAAATGAAAGCTTTGATACCTGAATGATGCCCTTAATTCTCCAAACTCCGCGGCAGTAGACAACAATAGGAAAATCATCTGGATGAAGTGCCTCAACCTCCCTCCTCACCTCCTCGCACGACACATTGTGATCGTTCGACAACCGTTCTGCCACCACCTTACTCTTCGGGTCCTCTGAAATTCTCCGTCCAAGAACCGCCCTCGAGTCTCCGAGATTCGCCACATGCAGTACATCATTCGATATTGTACCAACTAGACAACACGATCCAACTGAAGCAATTTGTGGCCGAAGTGGCAACGATCGCTTCACCAAATGCATAAATTCCTCCTCCGTCGCATGAAATGCTTTCTTTATTACATCTTCTGATAATCCCCCTTGCTCGGTAACGAATTCTACAACAAAATTATAATGAACATGAAATTTAGACCTCTTAATACTCTGTTATTCAACACCGATTCTACAATCAATCCAGAAATTAACAAAAAGATCAAACTTTATAATTGAAAGTTGCAACAAACATTCGAAAGACAAAAATTGAATGGATCACAAAACTAGTACTGAAGAAAAATGAAGCAAATTAAAGCAAGACACAGCATACAAGTAAATAAAACTGAAGTAAAATTGACAATTTTAAAATCAAATACCAAGCAAATACTTTCTAGAGAGAGAGAGGAGTTAGGGTTTGGAGAGAGAGATTACTATGGAGGTGAGGGAAGAGATGTCTATTGACGAAGCGAGAAGTTTCGGGACCACCGTGACCGTCGTAGACGCCGACGTAGGTAGCGGACGGTAACGCCAAGACTTGGCTTTGATCTTCCAGAGTGGAATTGGCCTGAACGACGGCGATCGAGAACTGGCCGGAGGCGTGAGGCTTCAAGTCCGTGTGCCATAGCAGTCCGTCACCACTCCTTCGCCCGAAACATCTCTCAATCGGCCTGCAACATGATCGTAACATCTTTTATTCTCTCTCTAGATTCTCTATCTATATATATATATTTATCTGTATATTGAACTCTGTGAGAATGGATGTTGGTCGCATATGATGTGTGTAAATACTAGGTATTTTTTTGGAACTTGAAGGGGTAGATAGTGAGACAGAGAAATATAGATGGAGAGAGAGAGGGGCTGTGATAGTGGGTAAACAGGGGAAAGGTCACAGAGAAAGTCGCGGGGAAGACGCGTTGGAAGAAGATGACGACTGACACCACACCACATCACACCCCGCGTGAGAATTGAGGCTTCAAAAATATTCAAACTTAGACCTAATTTTTTCAGTAAATTTCCTGTTTCTCAACAAATGCCACTGTGCCATTGCCACCATCATTCCACTTAACCTATGCCGTACCCACCATTATTTATTTATTTATTAGTGATAAAAAATATTATTTTTTTAAAATTAACAATTTAATATTTTTATATTCAATTTTTTTTGAAAAAAAAAAAAAAATTAACCGTTACATTCCTATCCACCCCTTACGAATAGATTTAATAAAATTTTATCTTCTTAAAAAGTTCAATTCCGATCAGTAACATTTATTTTGATTAAAATCCATAGAGTATTTATTTATTTCTTTCAAAATAAAAATCTTTTCGAGTAGTGATATTTACACTCAAAAGTTTGGCAGAATTTACCTATTAAATCTGATTGATGCATGAGATAAGGTCAGAGAGGGTCTCACTTTATCATATTTGACATGCATTTGACCAATCAAATTTAATAAGTTTAAAAATTCTGTCTAATTATTCGGTGCAAATATTATTACTCTTTCAACTATTGGCACTAGCCCTTCAACACCTAAAGGGTTAAATTATGAACTTACGGGAATTCAATCACACAAGAAACTCAAAAGAGAGACCTTTTTTATTTTTTCCCTCTTTTTTATTATTATGATTTTTTTTTATTTTCTTTTTCCTCTCAAGAAACTCACAAGTTCGTATTGTTTTTGTGATTATTAAATTCCCAACTCTCAACTTTGCAGTTTGAAATTTGAAAAAATATCACTGAGTTGACACAGTTGATAGTATATACATTATGGAATTGAGATTTGAGAGCACTATTATTGTATATGTTTTTTTTTTTTCAAAGAAAAATTGCTGATCTTTCCAAGAATCCAACTAAACAGTGAAAGGTTCAACTAAATAGAAAATATGCAAATTTTAAATTTTTTCAACTGATAAAAATTGAATAGTTCAATTTAAATATCTATAGTATATGAATTTTTTTTTTCTTGGCAAGTGATCGAACGGATGGAATCTAGGTTCATGAATTATAAAACTCGTGGATATGATTGTAGCTTTAAAGTGTTGGGAGGTATGTGTGTGTCTTAGAATGGGGCTTGAATAATTCAATAATAATAATTAAGAAAGGACAGTCTGGGATTATAAAACTCTGAGTCATTTAACATACCAACAATTGTCTAAATCATGTCATTATGGTTCATGAATTTGGCCGGACAAATGAGAAAATGAATAAAAGGGAGAGAATAAAATGATTGGAGGAGGCTCCCCTCTTTTGTTTAGTTGAATGAAAGAAAAAAAAAATAATAATATTGTCACGTGGTATCATTAAATTCTTAAATATATAGTTAATAATATTATTCTTACTTTATTTAACAAAAATTATATTTTCTATTTTTTCTTTCACCCAATTTTGAATGGAAACAAAATGAACAACTCTAAAGGATGCCTTCTCATTCCTCCCATCATTCCTTTCTTTCTAACTGTCAAATAGTGTAAAAACTTGTCGTATCTCTTCTCTTTTATTTTTTTCTGTCCTACTGGACACAATTCATTTCTTGAAAATAAGGTATTTCTGGCACCCACACAATATTCTCCTTTTGAAACTTCCTATTGATAAGCTTACGGCACCCACAGTATTACGCTTTTTCAATTTTCCAATATATTGATAAATTTATATGAGGCTGAAAAGAATGACAAATTTTTTTCATTTGAAGTCTGTGTATATTTGCTGGAATAATTCAAATCAATGATGTTACGCGGCGATTGTGAGAGACGGGATATGTGGTGTCCACCATCCCACACATTTTCTCTCTTACTCACCTCTCATATGTAGCAATTCAAAATGTACTAGATAATTTATTGTATTATCAATGGAGATGACGGGAATGCCATTCCATTCCCATTCTTATTCTTATTCTTATTCTTATTCTTATTTCCATTCCCATTTAACATATCTATCTCATACTTGTACCAAAAATTTTTATTAAATGAGACAGATACGGCGGGAATGAGTTTTGTAGAATATTATCGTAATTGTATTACGAATTTAACAAAAGTAAATAATAAAATAAATTTTTAATCATGGTAATAATTATTTTTCTCTTATGCGAATAAAAGTAAAATTCAATTTCTCAATTGGAATTTTAGACTTAATATTATTATAAAAAATTAAAATAATTCATATAAGTTCTCAAATAAAAATAATACAAAAGAATATTTAGTGATTAAAATATAATAAATTATGATTTGTTTAATATATACCTCATAAAGTACAAAATTATAATTTATCACTATAAACTAGCCGGGACAAGGCGGGGTGGAGTGGAGTGACATTTCTCCATCCTCGCCCCATAACCCCTATTCTCGTTTCAAAATCATATAACTACCCTATAACCATTCCAAACGGGCGGAATGGGGCGGGAAGGGCCATTTTGCCGTCCCTAATCATGAACAAGGTACAATCTTCTTCAAATATGGAGAGAAGCCAAAAAAAAATTTGAACCTTTTGGTCATATAAAAGTGCATGTAGGGATAGGACTGTAACTCGAGCGGGTTGGGTGGGTTTGAGATATAACTTAAGTCCAACCCATTTAAGAAATGTTAAACCCAAGCCCATCCTTTTACTTTTAAATTCAGGCTTAGATTACTGGTAAAAATTTCGGGTTAATTCGGATTACTCATATGCTTAATCTTTACACAAAAATTTTAATATGATCTTGAATTAGTTTTAGATTAAATTACTCTTAAACAATAAAAAGTTTAAAGACTTTTTGTAGAATTTTAGTAATAAATTGCAAACAAATTTTTAGAAAATTAATTCTCCTAAATGTTAACATACATTAAGGTGAGATTTAATAAAAGAAGCTGAAAAGAAAAAAAAAAATAATCGTAATTTAAATATTATATGTAATGTATTTAAAAGTAAAAATATATATGAAAATAATATTATAATTCAGGTTTGAGTTGACTCTTGTTGCTAGCACTTCAACCCAAACCCAACCCTAATTAAATTCGGGTTGAAAATTTTCAACCCAAATCCAACCCTAATTGAAAAAATGATTGTCCAAACCTATAAAAAAATTGGGCTGGGCTCGGGTTGGGTTCAGGTTACCCAACCCAAGTTGCACCCCTGTGTAGGGACCAACAGGCCTGTGACCTAGCAGTACGAGGCCCTTACTTCTCAAAGGGAAGTCATTGTTCAAACTTCAGTGAAGATATATGTGTGTGACTACCAAATAAAATAAAAAATAAAAAAATAATTAAAAAAAAAAAAGTGCATGTAGGGCCTAAAAACTGAAAGCGTCCAATAGAAACTCTGGGTATTTGAATTTCGAAGGTAGTAGAGTATACATTGAGTCTGTGTTTGCTTAAACTCTCAGTAAATAAATGGAAGTGTCGGTTGGTGTGCTATTAGGGCTGACATTGGCTTGAAGTGTTGTTAGAGTCGACTAGAGCCGAAGTGTGAAACAATTTTCCTAAATTACGCAAGTGCGTGAGCTTATCTAAGCGATGGGCGGTGTTTGGATATGATCGGATTGTCATCAACCTTGAAGGGTTTGCTTACAAGTAATATAGAGAACTTACAAATTACATCGTGTTCAAGAAAAGAATCATTAGAAGATAGAACTTTGTTTATTTTGGGTGAGGTAAGAAGATATATATAGAACTTTGCTGTCAAACTAAAGTTGACCATGTGCTTGGAACATTGCCTTTAACATATGGTTTCAATAAAGTACTTCAACCAATGTAAAACTAAATGAGAACTACAGATGCTTCAAGTGGATTCTAACTCACATCCCACTACGAAAAAAAGGTACGTTGCAGGAAAAATGAGTTGGAGATCATCAAAAGGGATGTGAATTTGTGATATTTGTTCAAAGTAATCATTCTAGAACTGAAACTATATTAAACCTTGCTCGGATGACTACTCTTCTTGATTTGAAAGTTACGGTTAATTTGTCCTAGAAAAAGTGAGTAGCTTATCGTGTTAGTTACTTGTTATGGAAGAATGCTTACCGTGTCATTGTGGAAGCTTATGAAGCACGAATATTTTTTGGAAGGAGCTGTGCCCAACACCGACACTCATTGAAAACTCTTTAAATACATGTCCGACACTTTACATACGTGTCCGTAAATAAAAATAAATTTTTATTATTTTGGACACTTTTCCGGCACTTCAGGACACTTCGCGGACCACACTTAGGTCGACACTTCAAAATATTTCTAACACAAGTCTAACCGATAATCTTAAAAATAATATTGATACATTCTAAAGTTTTCAATTTTTTCCTTGAAAAAAAATTGACATTACACATATGATCGCAAACAAAATATTAAATGATATTTGTTCATTTAAAATAAAAGCATTATTACAACAAAGTAGTGGAATAACTATATATATATTATAAAAGGTATTTCAACTCTTATTATAAAAAATTGAAACGAATTAGATTTTATAATATTATTACTCAATAAATATATATAAATAAAAATTTTAATTTATATATAATCGTATCTAAACCGTACTCGTGTCTTCCTTTTAAAAAAATTAACATATTAACTTATGTGTATAATATCATATCCGTATTACATGTTCGTGTCTGTGCTAGAGAAGTAGTAGCACACCGTCTCAATTTAGAGAGAAAACGCGTATTTATTTGTGTGAAAAATAAGTAGTTAAAAATTCATCAATCTCAGTAAAACAACTCTTTCCCTACTTCCATCGATTCCATTCAACTCTTTGATGGCACTATTAGTAATTTTATAGAATTAAAAGGGCACTTATTTTACAAAAATTGATGAGCATTTAACTATTTATTTTTCACAGAAATGAACACATGCGTCCTCTCTAAATAAATCGCACATAATACTCATTTATCTTATTAAAAACAAACTAATTGAAATAAAAGGTATATACTTTAAGGAAAGTTTGGATATTATGGAGAATAAATAAAGAAAGAAATAAAATTGGATATCATACATTTTCAGAGGTTGAAAATACTTTGTTGTGGATGTGAAGACCACTACTAGTACTAAA